GATAACTCTTTCTGAGACTGCTCTCAGGCAGGCGTGGGCAGCTGTGGAGCTTGGGTTCATTTCTCAAGAAGACAGATGTGCCATGGCTAATTTTAGGTGACCCTGTCCCATCAGCAGGGCCTGCCTGAAGGCCTGGGGTTTGAAAGCTGGGAGGAGGGTGCAGATCTGACAACCATATTCAAATCTACATACCCGGATGGTCCAGTCACTTGCCTGAGTTGGGCTCAGACAGCACTCCGTCTTGAGACCTGGCTAGCCCACTGTTATCTGGGTTCACTCAAATCATGGCCCCTTAAGAGGAATTCCACAGGGGTGATTTGGAAGCAGCTTTTGGCAATGTGACTCCACTGGTCTGGAGAATACTTTGCACTGGGGATGATTTGGTGGAGGGGTGGGTGGAGGACTCCCCAGCTCTGCCCTGCATGCTGCGGGCCCCTCCCAAGGTCTCAGAGGAAGGACAGCCCAGTAACAGCTGCCAAGGCAGCACAGAGGAGTCCTGAGTGTAGAGCCGAGTACTGTGTGGAGAAGGCAGGGAGCCCATAGGCCTCAGATTGCTAAGATTTAGCCCCGTCAAGGACGGGGCTGGAGTGTAAGGCAGTGAGTTAGATCTTGTGTCTGCATTTCTAGAACTCCCCAAGGACAATGAGAGGGTGAGAGTGCTGGACAGCATTCTCTAAGGCCCCCTGAGGTAATCCACTCCCCCAACAAAAAATGAATAGAAACTCAGAAAACCAAATAGGCCTAAAGGCCCAGGCTGACTTCTGGACCCTTACTATGCAACGGGTTTGTGACCCATCCTTTGAGCTGAGCTTACACAAGGGGATTTTTACCACCAAAGTGAAGCCCCAGGCCAGCATCAGGATCCCCTGGAGACTTGTTGAAATGCAGATTTTTGGCCCAGCCCTGTGGCTTAGTGGTTAAGGGAGTCAGATTCCACAGGCCCCATTGCAATTCGAATCCCAGCCCTTGCGGCATGAAAAATGTGTGTGTGAGCACGTGCCCACATGCCTCAATTCCCAGCAGGATGGAGAAACGGAAGAAAAGGGGATTGTGGTGTAACCATGTCCCACTGCGGAGTGGTTTCTCCCTCCGTCTCTCTAGTGAGAATGTGCACCCTCTGACCAGGGGGAAAAAAAAGTAGTTTTCAGGACTCACCCATCTCTACTAAGAAAGGAACTCTGAGGGCTGGGATGTTGGATGGTAACAAGAGTTCCAGCTGATTTTAGTTTAAGAACCACTGCGTTTACCTACTAAAGGTTCTGAGAAGTCCTGCTGTAAAACAAACAAACAAACAAAACCCCCAAAACCACGCAATTTTGTTCGCACTCACATTTCCTAAACTAAATGGCCACAAATCCCTCTTACAGCATCGTATCTGCTAGCTTGCCTGGGGTAGGCTTTGGCAAATAGGAAAGGCCCCGGACTTGGAGTCAGGCAGATGTTAATCTGAATCCCAGTCCCAGACCCAGTGGGGGGCACAGCCTCTTCACATTGTTGGGTGGTCGTGAGCTTGAGACCGGACACAGGAGCACCGTCCTTGGCTCAGAGCTGTGCAGCCCCATCAGGTCTTGGCTTCTACCGACAATGGTTAAGCACCATTACTACGACGACCAACAGCTAGGTGTTACCAAAATGTTCCAGCCGATTTTACGCGTCTCTCTTTTCTGCCCTCCTTTCCCCCCTTACATCCCTGTTTGGTTTTGGGGAGTTGGGCTGAGTCCCATTTGCTCTGCACACTGGTGATCTCAAGCTGAACGCCCTGACTTCTCGCAAAGGAGGCTGCCCTTCACCGGCAGTTAGCGGCACACTGGCCTCCCTCCCGGCACGCGCTGGGGCTGTTCTGTGCTGTCCTTTTACGAGGAAGCAGAGGAGCACACGGGACAGCCGGCACACACGTCCTCTTAATGTGGCTGCTTGTGAGGTGTGACAGAGTCACTCGGGGAGCACAGCCTGTGTCACACCAGTGTCACTGGGTCACACAGTCTATGGCCTGCTGGGCCACCTCGCTTTGATCAGATTAGCTCTCTTTTTTTTTTTTTTTTTTTTTTTTGAGAGATTTTCACTGTAGGGCGCATGCGCTTGCCAGACAGACAGAGAGAGACACAGAGACAGAAAGTGAGAAATCACCCCCCAGGGGGGATGGTCATGCCGCAATCCCTTCTCCTCCATTCTCCTCTCGGGATCTTGGGCACGCACGCACATGCGCCCGGCGTGAGTTTTAAGCCACCGGGTCCGGGACGTGAACCGCGGTCGACTACGTGGGAGCCCAGCAACATAGCCATTACGCTAACTGCTGGTTCCCCAGATTAGCTCTCTTCTTTAAGAACATGAACAGGGCATTAAGTAAGACCACCCACAGCAAATACAAGCAGGGTGTTTTATAACTGGGTACCATGTAGTAGGAAGACTACTGGACACAGGTTTTGCCCTACAGAAATGGCAGGATTTTTGGAGAAGTCACCTATTCCTTCCACATCTCAGGTTTCTCATCTGTAAAACGGGTTTGGTAAAATTTATCCAAATGTGAGGACTAAAGAAAGTTCTGGAAAGGGTAAGTGTAGTATAGAGCAGGGGCTAAATGTGGCATTGGAACATCACCAACCCCTGAGGCAAAATGGCCATCCAAACTGATCCCACCTTTCAAGGCCCAAGTTAGTTGAAACATTTGTTCATTCATTCATAGCGTACATATTTATTGAGCGCCTATTATCTGTACTGATGGCACCTGTAGCAAATACAGAGCTGGATAAGACCTTAGCATTCTGAGGGATGACAGCCATGAATCCACGAGTCACACAATTGCTTATTAAATGAAAATGATGGTTTGGGCAAGGAAGAAGTCTGACTTCCACAACCAAACCCAATTCAGCCCAGCCAATAATGGCTTCCCTTCAATTTCCTGCTTCTCTTGACTGTAGAAGTTGCTATTTACTGTCTAGTATTGTTGTTTAAATGCTTCCAAATGTCACAAGTACTTCCTAAAGCTGACTGCAGGCAAAAGCCCAGAATCTCAGGCAGCCTTTGCCCTAATTTGAGGCTGAACAAATACGTGAGACTCAGTCAAGGCTAAAATACGTTCCCAGAGCAGATCTCTCCTGGGAATAGCAATTTGGCAAATGTCACAACGACTTAAAGAGGTCTCCCCACGACTTGGAATTATTCAGAATTTACACGTTAAGGACAGGCAACTCTCTGAAGGCAGATAGGGGGCAGGAGTGGGGTGGAGCAGGGAGAACACTTCATAAAACAAAGTAACGACTTAATATTTTTAAAGCCATTAGGACATGTATTCCTCCCGAGAAACCGATCTTTCGAACGTCATCGCCACATCTGCAGCAGAGGGAGTAGGTTTGGTTCTCTTCGAGTTCTCAGGTAAAACAGTGGGAGGCTGTAGTCCCCCGAATGGCAATCCTGGCTGAGTGGACAGGATGGGGCAGGAGATGGAAGACCTAAGTTCTGGATAACTGGCTCGAGTTACGGTGGGGATGGAGCCCAGCCTTCTCCGGGTGGAGCAGGAGTGTGTGGGCTGGCACTTCCCTGGGTTTCTGGTGACTGTCAGCTTGTTCCCAACCAAAGAGGTTAGGGTTGGGACTTTTATTCCTGACTGTCAAACTGAGGTTACTTAACTGATGAGAGGTAGGAGAACAAAGTGTAAAAGGGAGGCTGGAGGCCAGAAACGAGTGACTGTCAGCCCCATGAAACCGGTCTTAAGCTATTCCTTTTATTTTCCACAGGGCGGCCTAAGAAAAGCCAATCCAGGGACCAGCAGTTAGCGTAATGGCTATGTCGCTGGATTCCTATGTAGTTGACTGCGGAATGAGTCCCAGACCCGGTGGCTTAAATTCACGCCGGGTGTGTGTGCGTGTGTGCCCAAGATCCCAAGAGGAGAATGGAGGAGAAGGGATTGCAGTGTGGCCATCCCCCCTGGGGGGTGATTTCTCGCTTTCTGTCTCTCTGTCTCTCTCTATCTTTCAGGCGAGCGCACACACCCTATAGCAAAAAACTCTCAAAAAAAAAAAAAATTCAATCCATGAGGTTCTTATCTCACAAACACTGTTTTCTCCTGTATGCTTTCTCAAAACGGTCTCTGGTGGCTCGCTCTCCAACAGCACCCCTTCCACATGCCAGAGAGGAAACTTCTGAAGCACAGCTTGGATCACGTGATACTTCTGACTCAACACCTGCCTCTAGAGTAAAGCCCTAGGCCCATGGCATTCTCCAGCATGGACACAGTGCCCTCTGCTTATATTATTTCCGGGGTCTTGGCGAATAATACAGGTGAATCAATCAATATTTGACGGACAAATAGGTGGAAGACATGACCCTCCAGGAAGCTTGCCCCTGCTGACTTCACCATCCTTGCTTCCCTTATTTATTAAAGTAAGTTTTAATGAATATATTGGGTTGTCAGAAAGGTCATGATGTGTTTTTGCATAGAAAAACAGAAAAAAAAATGTCATGACTTTACTGACAACTCAATAGATAGGAGATATACAGAGGACTTCTAGTTCTCTGTACCAAGCAGGTTCAAACACAGGGTGTTTTTTTGTTTTGTCTTTTGTTTTGTTTTGTTTTGTTTTTCTTTCTTTCTTTCTTTTGCAGATGGTCACCCTTTTAAGGGGACACGCATCTTACCCTCAAAGCCTGAGGGCTTCAATAGACCCTAGTTATTCCAGAGACAGCTTGGATCTCACCTCCTTTATGAAATAGACCTCCCCCGCACCCCGCAGCAAGGTTAGGTGCCCTTTGTCTAAGCTGTGACGTTCAGCTGTTCATGACCTCCCCAGGACTATGAGCCTTTCCAAGTCAGTGACCTTGTGTTATTTTCCACAGGACAGTCCTGGTACACACAGGGCAAATGAGCAACAGATACCCGCCGAGTGCATGGAGGCATGAATAAATGCAAGACGGAGGAAACAAAGCTGTGGGTGGGCCCTGAGCTTGCAGCCCTGGGCCTGGGCAGTTTCGGTCAGACCTGGAGCCCCGGGAGAGAGACTTACATATTCCACTTCCTTGGATGGGTCGCCAAGGCTGCCGTTGGTGGTCGGGGCAGTGGTCTCTGCACCTTCTGGCTTTTCCTGTTGCTTTCCCTCCTCCTTAGGCAAGCCGCCCTGCCCGGGAAGGGCCACCTCTCCCACGCCAAGGGCCTCGCTCTTATACTGCTTGACGAATTCTTCCATCAGTTTCAACTCGTTCTCCAAAAGTCCACGGCAGCGAGAGGGGTCCTGGTCATAGATGGGGAGCTGATGCATGAGCTGGCGTCGGCGGTAATAGGCCCCCTCGGTGCCCGTCACTGGTTGCTTCTCCTTGGGGATGAGCTCCATGTACTGCAGGCCCTGGGGGGAGGAGGAGGAAGAGGAAGAGACAGTGTGATGTGTGTGAGGTTACGAAACTATGCCAGACTCCACCAGAGACTCGAAATGCAATGTTTTCCCAAATTATCAGCAAGGGAGACACGCACAGTCCACTTCTTAACTTAATGTAGCATTGTTTAAATGTAAAGACAGGTTCTGTCCATTGTCACAAATAAGAAAACACACAGGAGAGAGAAAACATAAAGGAAAAATATGCACCCTCCACTTTGTAGCTGTAGGAGATGTTCTGTCTTGATCTCAGTGACTGCTATGGAAGCGTGTCTGTGCAGAAGTTCATCACACCATACAATGAGACCCTCCACTTTACTTTGTGCATGTTATGTTAGGTCGTCAGGGAAGTCATGATGTATTTTTCAACGCAAAAATGCACCATGACTTCCTGATGACCCAGTACTTTGATTTTAAAAAGTATTACAAAAGTTATGCCTCAGAGGGCAGGTGGTGGCAGAGTGGTGGCACAGGTGGACCTACATGGAAAAGATTCTGGATTTGTTTCCTGGGACCTCCCCGAGAACATCAGGTGTGTGTGTGTCTGTGATTCAGGTCAACGGAGTCTGGGGCAGATTGTGGTGTGAATGCCCTATTGGGGGTTCCTGTCTCTCTGTTTCTCATGTAAAAAAATAAAATAAAATAATGTAAAAATAATCATGTAAAAAATAAATAAACTTAAGAAAAAAAGTATGCCTCATTGGTCCATGGTAACAGTGTGAAAACAACTTTGTATTTATCGTTCCAGACTGTTTCCTAACTATACTCATTAAATCTTATTTAAATGTTATTTTCTGTGTGTGTATGTCATTTTAAATGAGTCTCTGGGTGGGACCCATAGTGCAGTGGTTAAGTGCTGTGCATTGGGAACCAGAACACACACGGTCAACGGCGGTTCTAGTCCCAGATACTACAGCTTTAAAAACATGCTAGGCACATGTGTATGAATGCCCCAAATCCTGATGAGATAGAAAAATGAAGAAAAGAGGGTTGTGGTGTGATCACACTCTACTAGGAGTGCTTTTTCTCTCTTTTTCCCTCTCTCTTGGGTGAGCACATGCACCCTCTGGCGATTAATTACAAAAAAAAGAAAGAAAGGAGGGAGGGAAGGAGAGAGGGAGGGAGGGAGGGGTCCCATTTCTTCTGTGACTGTGATAAATTGTGTTCATGGTGTGGGACAGAGACCATTTTGACATGTGAGAAAGAAACACTTATTTGCATTTGTCATTTATGCTCTATCTCTTCATTAACTAGCTAGATCGCTACTTGCTAGTCATAATTATTATTATTTTATTGCTTACTCCTCAAAGGCTCCTATAGCTTTAATATTTCAAAGTCATTGGGAAAAGAAAATCTGTATCCACTCGTGGGCCAGGTTTTCTACCAATATCTGAATAGAGATCATTTTGCTCTATTCTTTGACTTGAAAGTTTGCATCTGTCACCGAAGAAAGTTACTGCATTTAAATCTCTTCCCTAGTAACATCTGCTGACAGCAGCCAAATGATAAAGTTCTTATGGTATGAGATGGTTCTTCAAAAAAGAAAAAAAGCTCATGGAAAATACTATGCATGGATTTAAAATATTTTTTGCACCAAAATAAATATGTACTTAATTTTTTTGTTGTCGTTGTTTGGGATAGAGCATGCGTATGCACATGAGATAGTGTAGACAGAGAAAGAGAGAGAGGAGCACCCTCCACAGGGCATGGCCACATCACAACCCCCTTCCTAGTCCTCTAGCTCCAGCTCTCCAGGATCTTGAGCATGACACATGCACCTGGCATGTTTTCAGAAGGACCAGGCAGGGGACTCAACGACACAGTCAGCATGTGGCTTCTAGTTGTACAGTCTGGAACGCTACCAACTGAACCACAGAGGCTGGGCCTTTAATTCCATTTGTCCGCACACTTTTTGAGGTCCCTGTGTAGAATGAGAGAAGCAATGCAAGCCAGCCGATCTCATACAACCCCGGCCCTGCAACTGAGTATTTACCTTTCGCCTTTGCTCATGGAGTTACCCTCCCAGAAGGAAGGCCCTGTCTGTCCTTCCTGTTCTTAGATACAGTAAAAGGCGCTTTGGGCATGCCCATTCCTTAACCATTCCCAGTATATTCCAGATCCATATATATGTTTTTCTTAAAACAAACAAACAAACAAACAAAAAAAAACCCCTTTTTTTAAAGAGAGATTTTTGTTATAGGGCGCATGCACTCAACAGAGAGACAGAGACAGACAGAGATAGAAAGTGAGAAATCACCCCCCATCCCAGGGGGGGATGGCCATGCCACAATCCCTTCTCTTCCAGTTTCCTCGTGGGATTTTGGGCATGCATGCACATGTGTCCGGTGTGAGTTTAAAGCCACCAGATCTGGGACTTGAACCGTGGTCGACTACATGGGAGTCCAGCAATGTAACCATTACATCATCATCTGGTCCCTATATATATATTTTTTAATAGGACCATTAGCTTCTCGCTAGCAGGCAATGCCCCATCTACTTCAATAGCAAGAGTGAGGGTTGCAACCTGCGAAACTAAAATTCTGGTTCTAGGTATGTCAGCTGAGTGACTACAGCTACCTCATTCCCTCTCTGTGCGTCAGTTCCTCGGCTACTAAATGCAGATCATAAAACCTAGGACTATTGTGGCACTTAGTTAACAGATCCACAGCATCTATACTATACCTATTACTGATTTTCCCTTCCCTTTGTTTTTCTCTCTTTTTTTTTAAATACTGGTTATTACTAGGATTATTATTATTATTTTTTTTTGCATTTAATCCCTGTGTATCACTACAGCATATGAGATGAGTTTTCCCATCATGAATATCCTGCATATCGGCCCAGTGAAAGACAAGACCATACATTTTAATCAACAGATTTCTTTCCATTTTGGGTCCCTTAAATATTGTACTTCTTCTTTTCCTTGATTCCTTCTCTCTCACCCCCTGCCTCATTTCTCTATCCCTGAGTTTTCTATCTTTTAAAATCTGTGGCTGAAACTATAGCCACCAGCGACATCTTCCAACGCCATCTTCCTCAAATGACAGAGTGTATGAGAACGATGTGAAAATGGTGCTAAAAATGAAGATTTCCAGGCGTCAATCAAGATTTTGGTTCAGAGGGAGAGGCATGGGGATCCAGGAATAGGTATCTGTAACAAGTATGCTGGGTATCTCTGATGCAGGAAGTTGGCCTCTGGACCATACTTATACTATGATTCCCATCAAGCACGGGCAAGAAAGAAATGAGTGAGATTAACCAACTGTGGTTCTCAAGCATCCGGGCAGAGATCCAAGGAGAGGATGGAGGACGATTCCTGGCTTGTTGGGTTTGCAAAACCGAAGGATTCTCAAGGAGGAAATACTGTGAATTTCACTAATACCAGAGGGAGGCTAAGATGAACCTCTCCTCTGCTCCAGGTTGAGGTCACAGATTCATGTTGTTGGTGAGAATGGTGAAATTTAGGTGCATGTTCCTTTTACACTTGCTAGCTTTGCAACATGGACTTTGTTTCCTTCAAAACGGAATATTTTTCCTCCATTGGTCTCATGGGGAACACTCCTAATTAAAAAGAAAAGTCAATCTTGTTCAAAATAGCTTTTCTCAGGAAAATATAATTAAATCACTATGGACAAACGGTACTTTCATGCTTCATGGGTTTAAAAATATATTAGGGCATCTCCTGATAATAGAATTGACAAGGTCAATTATGTCAATCATGTCAATATTTTCACATCGATATGAATGAATATTACTGTGTCTACAGCTCACCCAACTGGTTTTTGTTTGTTTGTTTGTTTGGTTTTGTTTTAACAAAAAAATCTTCATCTTGTAGGTCCCAAAGATGGGGAGATGAGGAAGAAATAAAGGTCAAGGTCTTCACACATGAACTTGAGAGACAGGCCAGATGGTAGTGTAGTGGTAATGCAATTGGACTCACATGGGAAAGGTCCTGGGTTTGCATCCTGGGACCTCCCTGTACACACTGGGTGTGCACATGCCTATGATCCTGGCTAGCTGAGTCTGGTGGTGGGATACAGTGTGAGTAACCTGTTGGGGATGCCTGTCTTTCTTCCTCTCTCTCTCTCTCTCTCTCTCTCTCTCCTTTCTATGTTTCTTTTTCATGAAAGGAATAAATAAAACAAACTGAGAGAGGCAAATAATTTCTTCTGATGACTGTTCTCCATCTCTTTTCCTCCTGACCCTGACTCTGACCCTAGACACCAGCTTGCCTGATCCCCACTACCCAGAGGGCTGCTGCCATGTTCATCCTTAGAACCCACCTGCCTCTGATTTTATCACTCGGGGCCGGACTCATTTTGGGATTGTGCAAATCAGATATTTGGGAAGGCTTATATCCCTGACCCTGTCCTAGGAGACCAAGGTGTCTAGTGGTCTTCCTCTTGAACAGTAGGCAATAACAGGTGGCTTCCAGGACAGATATATCAGACTTTGGGCCAAAGAACCTAGTCTCAAACTTCAGGGTACATAAAACTTGCTTGGAGACTTTGTAAAAATTCTCTAGCCCACCCTCATATTTAGAAGGCCTAGAGGGGCCTAAAAATGAGAACTCTAACAGATTCTCCTGGGTGGGTATAAAACAGGACATCGAGGTCTGTACCTCTCTGGGGGGAAGGGAGTGGGAAAATGGGATGTGAGTGACCATCAGAGGACAGAGGGAAGAGGCAGCCCAGTGGCCAATAGGCCAATATGGTTTCAGGTCCTGAGGATGTGGGTTATGGTCTAGCCAAGGGGTGGCAAACATGCCCACATTGCTCCCTCCCTGTTTCTTATCCAGAGCCTATTCCACTCCAAGGATCTAAGAAAGCATTTTGGAGAAGTGAGTGGGCAGCAGGCCTGGCCACCAATTTATCAGCTCCAAGTGCCAAGACAGCCCCTGCTGCAGGCTGATTCAGCTCAGAGGAGAGGGACTGCTTCTCCTACAGGCTGCTGAGGCCCTCCAGGCTCAGGGCCTTAAGGAGTGATAACTCCCTCTGCAAACCCAGGGCACCTGCTCCTTCTGGTCTCCTCTCCTGTCTGCCAGGTTTCCTAGCCCAGCTTGGTGGGGACTTGAGCTTCAGAGTCAGGGAGGCCCAAGTTCTAGACCTGGTTCTTCCTTTTAAATCAGTTGTGGGATGTTTGCCTCATCATTCCACCTCTCTGAGCCTCAGTTTCCCCCTCTAGATGACGGCAATAGCAGTACATCCCTATCAGTATTGGGAAATTAGATGAGATCATGCTTAAATAGCTTTTGGTATAGTGAATGGCATGCAGTAAGTACTCAGTGAATATGAGTGATTAGGATTACTGCCAGTCTTTAAAGGCTTAAGAATTTTTTCTCTCTCTCTCTCTTTTATACCTTTGTTTTGACTGGGAGAGATGACAGCAATCAAGGTTCAGTCCCATTTGCAAAATATAATCAGTCTTCATCACTTGGTCCAACAAAGTCAAAAGAATAAATGGGAAGAAATTGTCCAATCTCAGAAACGTGCCTTGCCTTGCAGCCCAGATGTGGGAAGACAGCGGGGCTCTGTTCAGCCTGTGGTTTACGAGGCAGCATTAATCACCACCTGATTAGTCTGGGACGAAGTGTTGGCGTTTTCACCAACTGGTCCCTGGCGCCCACAGCCAGCTCTTTTATGAGCAGCTTCAGTTTCCACTGACATCTTGGAGACCCACTTGATAGACCCAGGCACTGGAGGCAGACCTGAATTGTGGACCACCTGGCCTGGCCTGTCTCCGCTGTTGTTCTAATGCCACCCTCTGTGGTCCTGGATTGGCCCTGGCTTAGCGCTGCAATCTTGCTAATTAAGGGTTCTGCATGTCCTTACAGGTAAAACAACTCCTACCTCACAGGGTTATTAGCACATGAATGCCAAAATGTTCTCTGAATGGGACCACCAGGTGGCGTGGTGGTTAAGGGGGCTGAATTCCCACATGGCTCATCATGGTTTGAGTCCCGAACCTGGCAACTTGCTTTCTCACTTTCCTCTTCTCTGTCTCTGTCTCTCTCTGGTCAAATTAAAATAACAATACTAATTATAATAACAAATGGAATGAAATAAATAATTTTTAAAAATGTTCTCTGAAATGTGCATGGGTTGGTCGTGGGGCCTAGTGGGTAAGGGAGCCAGATACTACGAGATCAAGCGCAGTTCAAATCCCAGAACCAGTGGCTTGAAAAACATCTTTGGTATATGTACATGCATGTCCAAACTCCCAACAGGGTAGAGAAAAGGAGAAGAGATTGTGGTGCGATCATGCCCCATTGGGGAGCATGTTTTTCCTATTTTTCTCTGATGAGTACATGCACTCTGTGGCAATTAGACAAAAAGTGCTTTATGTTTTTCAAAACGTACAGATTAAGAAAACAAATCTTAGCCTCTCTTCACTTTACAAGAAGGGGTGTTTCCTCTCTTACTTGACAGCTTAGAATTGTGCTTCTCAAACTCCATGGTGAAAGATCAAGGTTTGTTTGTTTTTCCACTTATTGCAGAAAGCTCTGTGGTCTCACTGAATGTGACTGGAATGTAGCTCATGCCACATGAGATTTCCATGTGAGTCTGCACACCTGAACTCAGCTGAATGAAATTAGTTATTTCATCAGACAGTTGGATGTCAGTTACTACGCAATGTTCCCTGCATTTATTCTCGATTTCTGCTTTTCTCATGGTGTGCCAGCCTGAAGGACTTTGTAGAATAGCTCCAGGCCACAGACCACACTGAGAGTATCTCTGGCCAAAGGATGCCATAGCATCAACACTCATCATGCCTGGCATTGTGCTAGGTGCGGGGATGTCACAGTGTATAGGACAGCCGTGGTGTATGCTCTCAGGGGCTCCCCTCCAGTGTGGAGAAGAGATAACTGACTACTAAGCACAGAGATGTGTAAAAGAGGCACAGGTTGCAATAAGGGCCTCTAAAGAAATGGAAGGAGATGGGACCAGCAGATGGCATAGTGGTTATGTCACTGGATTCACACATGACCAACTGCAGTTCAAGTCCCAGACTTGGTGGTTTGAAACTCATGCCGGGTGCATGTGTGTTCATGCACAAGATCTTGGAAGAAGCATGGAGAAGGGATCATGGCATGGTCACTGCCTCTGTGGGGTGATTCCTTACTTTTCTTCTCACTGTCTCTAACTCTTTCTGGTGAGCACACAACTCTAAGGCAAAGACCTTAAAAAAAAGGAAAAAAACACAAAGAAATGGAAAGAGAAAGGACACGCTGTAGGAAGACAGAGGCTTCTATTATAAATTGGGTAGTTAGGGAAGGCCTTTTGAGACCCCACTACCAGAAGGACCCAGTCATGCAAACAGCAGGGTCAGGATGTTTCTGGTAGAGGGAGAGGCAACTGCAAAATCCCTGAGGAGGGCAAGAGCCTGGTGTGTTCTGGAACTGGAAGTGGGAATTGATGTGTTGTAAGGTACTGAGCAAGGGGGGAAGACTAGGAGCCAGGGGAGGAGCTGTAGGGACAGGACCTAACAGGGCTCCAAACGCTCCCCTTTCCTTCCAGGGAAGATTTAATTAAATAGAAGGCATACAGCTCTAAAATGGGTGAGGCTTTTATATCCTATTCACGTGTAGAAATTGTCAGCTCCTTGCTACTCCAAGTGCTGACTGGGGACCAGCACAGCTTCCGTGTCTTGGGTGAGTGTGCTGGGAGTGCAGACTCTCAGGACAGCCTGGACCTGCTGGTTGCATTGTAATGAGCTCCCCTGGTGACTTATTTGTGTGTTGGGATTTGAGGGGTCCTGGTCTGGTGCACTTGCTCTTGAAGGTGGCTGCATGGGGAGTCACCGGGGAGACATTTAAAATGCTCACAGATGGTGATTTGGATTCTGCAATGTGAAGTTTCTGATTCAGGTCTGGGGTGAGGCCTGGGCATGGGGACTGTTTATAGGCCCGACGTGATTCCAGTGAGTAGTCAGCAAAGAGTCACTTGCTCCCTCTGGGCCTGCGTCCTTTCTATCCTCTGTAGGAACTCTCTAAAGATTTGCCCGAGACTTCTCTAAGTGCCTTTTCCTGAATGTTACAAAAAACCAATTTGGTTCTTCCTTCTAAGATTAAGAGGCTTCAGCTTTTAGGGGGAAGAGAGGATGTTCTTGCTCTCTTACAGGCTGGCAAAAGGTATATATCCTGGCTGCTTTGAGAGGAAATCTTTTGCAGATGGAGATGAGCATTCTGAGAATTCAGAGTGATAAACCTCGTCCCATTCAAAAGTGAGAAGCCCAAAGGGAACGATGAATGCCCCTGTGCTCGACCTGGATGGCCCCTTAGAGTTCATATACACACCCCTACCCATTTCCTGGATGAGGAAAATGGAGACCCAGAGAGTGATCACGTCAACATCACATGATGATGCAGGAGCAGGGCTCATCTAACTCTTTCTGGTGAGCACACAACTCTAAGGCAAAGACCTTAAAAAAAAGGAAAAAAACACAAAGAAATGGAAAGAGAAAGGACACGCTGTAGGAAGACAGAGGCTTCTATTATAAATTGGGTAGTTAGGGAAGGCCTTTTGAGACCCCACTACCAGAAGGACCCAGTCATGCAAACAGCAGGGTCAGGATGTTTCTGGTAGAGGGAGAGGCAACTGCAAAATCCCTGAGGAGGGCAAGAGCCTGGTGTGTTCTGGAACTGGAAGTGGGAATTGATGTGTTGTAAGGTACTGAGCAAGGGGGGAAGACTAGGAGCCAGGGGAGGAGCTGTAGGGACAGGACCTAACAGGGCTCCAAACGCTCCCCTTTCCTTCCAGGGAAGATTTAATTAAATAGAAGGCATACAGCTCTAAAATGGGTGAGGCTTTTATATCCTATTCACGTGTAGAAATTGTCAGCTCCTTGCTACTCCAAGTGCTGACTGGGGACCAGCACAGCTTCCGTGTCTTGGGTGAGTGTGCTGGGAGTGCAGACTCTCAGGACAGCCTGGACCTGCTGGTTGCATTGTAATGAGCTCCCCTGGTGACTTATTTGTGTGTTGGGATTTGAGGGGTCCTGGTCTGGTGCACTTGCTCTTGAAGGTGGCTGCATGGGGAGTCACCGGGGAGACATTTAAAATGCTCACAGATGGTGATTTGGATTCTGCAATGTGAAGTTTCTGATTCAGGTCTGGGGTGAGGCCTGGGCATGGGGACTGTTTATAGGCCCGACGTGATTCCAGTGAGTAGTCAGCAAAGAGTCACTTGCTCCCTCTGGGCCTGCGTCCTTTCTATCCTCTGTAGGAACTCTCTAAAGATTTGCCCGAGACTTCTCTAAGTGCCTTTTCCTGAATGTTACAAAAAACCAATTTGGTTCTTCCTTCTAAGATTAAGAGGCTTCAGCTTTTAGGGGGAAGAGAGGATGTTCTTGCTCTCTTACAGGCTGGCAAAAGGTATATATCCTGGCTGCTTTGAGAGGAAATCTTTTGCAGATGGAGATGAGCATTCTGAGAATTCAGAGTGATAAACCTCGTCCCATTCAAAAGTGAGAAGCCCAAAGGGAACGATGAATGCCCCTGTGCTCGACCTGGATGGCCCCTTAGAGTTCATATACACACCCCTACCCATTTCCTGGATGAGGAAAATGGAGACCCAGAGAGTGATCACGTCAACATCACATGATGATGCAGGAGCAGGGCTCACTCTGCAGTCATTCCCATCATTTCTGTATCCTTGCCCTCTTGCCTCCTTGTCTTTGAAATCCAAGAACCAATGACGTGGCTAATATCTGTAAGAGTATGAAGATAACTGGTTGGCTGGAGAAAGCCATCTTACCAGTTTCTGGGTGACTCCAGGGGGAGCCCACTCGTAGGTGATGGTGTCAAAGGTGGGATCTTTCCCAGTGGCAATAGGGTTGGTCATGATCATCCGGTTCCTCTTATAAATCCGGATGCCGTCTCCGCCTTTCACCCGGGCGGTGAGGGTGGAATACTTGGAGTCCATCAGCAAGCGGCCAATTTTCCGGTCGTCTTCTAGGTCAGAGGTTAGGCAGTGGTCCTCTTGGCTGCATTTGCATGACTTGCATATTTTCCTGGGTGGAGGGGGAGAGAGGGGGGACAGGTAAGGTCATCCTCCAGAAAAGAGAGGCAGAGTCCCTGCCGGCAGCATCTACCCTTTCAATGGCAAGCTCAAAATGTAACTTTAGCAACCTAGATGTTAGCAGTAGACAAGTAGTAATCTGAGACAAACAGGCCTTTGGGACCCAGAACTGCATTTGCGGCCCACCAATCTGTGAGGAATGTGGGATATGACTTTTGTTGGTAAAAAAAAAAAAAAAAAAAAAAAGAATAGCACCATTTCCGTTGGGTGGTTGCCATGGCCAAGACTGATTCATTCACCAGAGATGCCTTAAAGCCTGAGTCTGTGGCCTGTAGTCTACACCTGGTCCACAATCTGCATTTGTAAATAAAGTTTTGTTGGAATGTGGCATGCTCCTTCATTTACATATTGACTGTGGTTGCTTTGGGGTCACAAAGACAAAGCTGAGTGGCTACAACAGAGAATATCTGACTCACTGTTCTTGAAAAGGGTGAGATAATTCGTTAACCTCTGTCTAAAGAGTTATTAAAATGATCTCCCAAGGTCCTGTGTCTTGGCACGTGGGTAATTTTTAATCTCTTTAGCAAGGACAGTGAAAATTAGAATACAATGGAAATTGTCTTCAAGAAGCTTGTGGACTAGACCCAGGAGGAAGGGAGCGAGCTGAGAAAACCCCTCCCCCTGGAGAGATTTATGTCCCTTGGAAAGGCTCTGTCAGGGGCTGAGAGAAGGAAATGTACCCAGGGGGTGCAAATGTCAGTAGGTGGTACACAGGAAAAGGCCCAGTGGTCATGCGTTTGGAAAACAGTGGGTTAAAGAAGGTTAAACCCAGGGGCCAGATGGTAGTGCAGTGGTAAAATGCAACCCTCTGTGAGGCTGACCCATGTGGAAAGGTTCCAGGTTTATATCCAGAGACCTCCCTGGAGTATATCCAGCAGGGCAAGCCTGTGATCCAGTTCTGGCTGAGGCTAGGAATGGACTGCAGCATCAAGACCTTGGTCAGATGCTCTCTTTCTCTCTAGCCCTCTCTCACCCATGAGAAAAAAAATTTTTTTAAAGGCTTAACTATTTTCCTTAGTGCAAGGCCCAGTCTTTAAGACAATGATGTACAGCACGGCATTCTGAACATTATTTGAGAAGCTTGCAGTCCAAGTTCACATTCACATTCAGTGAACGGCAATTTGAGAAATGTTAAAATCCACGATCTCAAGGAACTGTTCCAGTGCTATGAGAGGACTGTAAGGGTGTTGCAGGGCAAAAAATGAGAGGGTTTTTTTCACTTTCACAAGAAGGGATAGAATGTTTTGCAAAACTGGGGCATATTATTCATGATCAGTAACATTCTCTGGCCTATCTTGTTTGGGAGCCAGACACGGAGGAGGCTGCTTCTTTAAGTAGAGGGTGACAGACAGTGTTCGTGGTCTACATGTGGGAATGAGAGCCACAGAACTGGAAGTGGAAGGGGCAAGTGGAGGGAGGAAGTGAAGGAAAAGTCCAGTGTGGACAGACACAGAAGAGCCCCAATTCCCATCTGACCTTCTGACCTCCTAGTACCTCCCAGACATGGAACCTGCCTTTTGAGGAAGCCGCCTTTTGCTTTTTTGGTTAATGTGAAATCTCAGTGTGCTGAGATGTTGGGAATGCAAACATTTTGAAATGGAAAATTTTAACAAATATGAGATACTCTGCGAGGTTATGTCAACATTGCTTCTCCTTTTATTCATGTTCTCCAAGTTGCTGGAAGCATTGCTCAATCTTTACAGATGAGGAAGACACCCTTTTCACCCCAGCCCTACTCTCCCTAGGTACCCAGCTTATACAGGATACAGCCCCATGCTAAATAGCCTCGATGATATAAAGGTGGCCATTTCTGCAATCTGTCATGGACAATTCAGAATTAGAACCTGCTCTGGATGATCACTCAAGGAGTTTTTCTAAGCAATCAGGCCAGTTGCCATTTTAGTTATTCGAGCATCTGCTGAACAACTGAGAATAAGAAAAGTGGGGCATAAACTTGGTTTGACAGGATTTCCCCCTAAGGTTCTGTGACATCACTGCTTCCATATGAATCAAATTTAAGTCCCTATTAGGGCTATTCAAATCAAAGACCACACTTGATATTTAGGACCTACAATCTGCAATCTGAATTTCTCAAAGGCACATTCATATGATGGCCAAGTCATTTGGAGGGAGACAAGGAAATGTTGAGATTAAGATACCGCTAAGAGACATCTGCTTCTGGCCATGAAGAACAGGGTCCAGAATTGTCCTCCCTCCATAAACAACTAGAAACTCAGACAAAATACATTAAATGACCATTTCCAGATGTTGGAACTCAAGCAGCATAGGATTTTGACCCTTGAGAGGAGAAACATATTGAACTGACCCAGTAGATGCTTTTAAGGGACATTTTCTGTGACCCCAAGAACACAGCCATTTTCTAAGAGCAGGAATCAACACTGTCCTGAGACTCTGACAAAAAATTTGATGGGGTTGAAATGATAGAGAAATGGACTTTCTTCCAGGCCAGAAAGAACTCAAAAGGCCAAAACAGAGGCATGAGGAGTTTCACCTTCTGAGAGCATTTCTTGTAGGAGAAAATTTTACAGGGGATGGAAGTCTGGACACGATGACCATGAAGGTCCCTTGTATCCAAAAGACCCCATGAGATTTGAGGTTGAGGACTATCAGACAATGGAGTCAAGAAATGGTCTTTTGCTTTGAAAGCTCATAGCTCACAGTAGTACAGAATGGCCAAGAGCATGGGACTGGGTTTCAGGAAGATCTGAGTTCAAATTTTGTCATTTAGTAGCTGTTTCCCCATTACCCTCCACCCCAAGCATTCTGAACTGAAAAAAATGAAGGATTATTTTAACACTTAAATATAAAGAAACTAATAAGTAGTTATTTTTGTAATTTCCCCTCTCATGATGAAAGTCAGCATCTCTAAGAAAACACCACCCATATTTTGTCCCTCCACCGAGTGCCCAAGGTAACTCTGTGGCCCTGAGGACAGAAGCTTCCCTTCTTGGGTTTCAGAGCTTAGCCTCCCCCTCCCAGGGCTGCAGGGACAGTCACAGGATGCTGTGTTCTGTCCTACTACACGTAGGTGGGGCACACCACTATGCTGATGTGAATCCTGCCTGGGAGGGGTCTGTGATAATGGCAGCCTCACCCTGTTGTCTGAGTCCTTAGGGAACAAAAACAAAGAAAAACTGGGCACATCTAAATACCAGGTCCTGGCTTTTAAGTTCTTTGGACAGAATGACTTTCCTTTCTGTCCCAAGGGCCATCCTTGGGTCAAAACCATCAACAGGGATGATGGTGCAGAGGAGAGAGATCAACCCCATCCACCAAACCGGAGGGCACAGTCCTGTCCCGAATACACCAGGCATCAGCTCACACCTGCCCGTGTCTTCCCAGAGCAGATCTTGCTGGGCTGAGCTTGGTGACCTCCACCTTGAAAGGGTTTATGAGGCACTGAGCTCCTTTTTAAGATCTTTGCTCACCGAGGACTTATTTGATTTTGAATCGGGCCTAGCAAGAGAGCCCTCCCTCTGCAGCCCTTCCTCCCCAGCACCACACACGTCCTGAACAATCTCAGCAGAGAAAAGGACTAGGGTTCCTAGAAAGGACAGCCAAGAAGTGAAGGCAGGCAGAGTCCCTCCTGACTGAATCTGTTACCTCCATGAATGTGGCTCGAAGCCCGAACACGTCCCCTTGCATCCCAAACATGCCACGCCTCTCGCTGACTGCTGCTGGCCCAGGGACATCTGGAAAAGGAGACAGAAAAAAAGGGTGTTTTCCTTCCAAACATCTTGAACCGGAGATGCCTGACCTCTCAGAGACTTGGCACTCCAGCAAAGGGATTGTGTGGGGTTCAAAGGGCTCAAGATCAATAAGCCATCACTGACTGTTTATGGGGAAGAGAGATTAGCCAGGAATGCTGCCATAGGGCAAGCGGGAGTAGAAGGGTGGGGTCCTTCCCAATAGAAATGCAGTGGGGGCTCCTCCTCAGCCTCCAGTGCTGTTGGGAAAACACTCAGACTGGTCCCACATGCTCTGCTGTGGGTGCCCATTAACTGCTTCTCTGCTCTCTCCTCCCCTCCCAATCCACTTGTCACTGGCATGGCGTCTTCCAGTGAGTGCATCTTCTCCTGGGTTTCTTTGTGATTTATTGATAGGCTGTGATGAAACCAAAGTTACAAGCACGAACCGATGAGCATGCTGCCAAATGTTTACAGCTCAAAGCATAACTTAAATATTTTGCTAAACACACTGGAAATCACATGAGCCTTAAAAAAAAATCTCCTTTGGAAGGAACACGATGCACAAGACAGGTTTTCTTATTCAGGACAAGCCGAAGGCAACGGAAGTGCATTGGTGGCTATGGCTGCTGTGTTCAGAACCACATGACTCTCAAACAGGGCAAACCCGCAGCAGCCAGCGCCGGGAACATGCCAAAAACGTGGTCTTGTAGGCTTCAGTCCCAGATCCTTGGAGTCAGAATATGCACTTTAACAAAATTCCTGGGATATTCATATTACATTAAAATTGGAGTGGTAGTAGGTTAGTGTATGGATCTACTGTCTGAGAAGCTCCTAAGTCCCCTTGGGGGGAGTAGGTTGCGGGGATGACTTGGTGTCAGTGTGCAGGTTTATCATGATTGTACTGGAAACAGAGCTTGATGAGCTAGGAGGATGAAGGGACAAGATTCTCATTCAGCACACATTGGTCCATTTACCCATTTACTTAGCACCCACTGTGTATCAGGCACAAGGGAGACAATGTAAGACTTAGATGTGCCCTATAGGAACTCATAGTCTAGGGGGAAGGAAAGGGGGAACACACTCTCATCACCCACTCCTGTTAGTGCGAAGTTCAAAGCAAGAGAAGCTGAAAGGCATGAACTTTGGGGCCTGCAAGACCTGGATTCTAAATCCAACTTTGTGATTTATCAGTCATCTGGCCTTGGACACCTGAGCCTTTGTTTTCGGTTTGTTTTAAAGGATTATTTATTTAAGTTCATTTGTTATTATAATTATTTTTATAATTTGACCAGTGAGAGACAGCGAGAGAGAGAGAGAGAGAAAGGGAAAGCAAGAAAGCAAGCCACAAGGTCCGGGACTAGAGCCACGGTCAGCCATGTGGGAATTCCCAGCGCCTTTAACCACCATGCCACCTGCTAGCCTCCCCCCCCCTTTTTTTTTAATCTGCTAAATGAGTACAAAGATAATATATGTAATACGTGGCACCATAAGAGGCACCAGAAATGGTAAATTACATTATTTTTCACACTTTAGAAGCACAGAGGAGAGTGCTGATAAACTCCTATGGGAAATTGAGGGAGGATTCTTAGAGGAGGTGACTTTGGATTTGAGCTGTGCAAGATGAACAGGCAGAAAGGGGGAGAAGGAGCTGGAAGTAGAAGGAGGATGTGCAGTGGTAAAAAGGTACAAAAATATGATGGGAAGGGTGTTGCAATCTAAGTGTGTTCTTCGGGACATTACTAGTCTCTTTGCTTTTAAGACAGGAAAAATCTCGTGAAGTCATCCTCATGAACAATGATAGATTTAAAAGGGTGATATGGAAAGAGCGATCCTTTATCATACTCCTCTTCTGTACCTCCAAATGTCCTGTAACACCTAGCTCCATGCCTTCTGCTTGGGGACTGCTTTTTTTTTTTTTTTTTTTTTGAGAGGTTTTTGCTATAGGGTGCATGTGCTTGCCAGAAAGAGAGAGACAGAGAGACAGAAAGTGAGAAATCACCCCCCGGTGGGGGGGGAATGGCCCCCCCACAACCCCTTCTCCTCCATTATCCTCTTGGGATCTTGAGCACGCATGCCCACACCCCTGCCATGAGTTTAATCCACCAGGTCTGGGACTTGAACTGCCGTCGACTACATGGAAGTGCAGCGACATAGCCATTACACTAACTGCTGGTCCCAGGTGACTGCTCTTTATCCCATGGTTTCCCAGGCTCTGGTCTTCTGCTGAACACATATCACAGTGTCAGGGAGTAAGATCCATGCTGCGTATGTTTGTTTATGTTTTTGCCTGTTCAGTGCTAGGTTCATTGTCCTAGGCTGGGCTGAAGGGGAGGGGGCAGGAATTCTCATTTGATAACTCTGTTCCCTAAAGCCACTGGTGTATAACCTGGCTCATTTCTGCCTCTCCTACTTGACACCTTGAATCCTACTAGTTGAAATACAGTGATCCTTTCACACTTAGCATCCGAGTAGTTCCAAGTTTATGTTGGAGGGCATACAATTTATGAATAAGGTTTCATTGTTGGACTGTTTCAGACACACCCAGAGGCCTGGAAACATAAGAGATAGGTGGAAGTGTTTTGTAAGTGACAAAACACCGGTATGCCTGGCATCATTGTTCTTCTAATGACAGGCGGGTTGAGCGGTCATCCTACATGGAGATTAGTCCTGATGCCTGGCCCAGAAAACTGAAGTCCGATTCTATCTGCTGGCTCTGGGTTTGGTTTAGAATAAGTGCTATAACGCAACACAGCAAAGCTCCAGCCTGCAAGGCAGGGGCCTGGCCTTGCGGTGCCAACATTGGCATTTATTAGCTGTGCAAATGGAGGTGGGTCATTTCCTTGCCCAGCCTAAGTTTCTCCTCTGTAAAGTGAGAGAACTGGCCTGGAAAGGGTTTGCCCAAATTCTGTTCTGCAGGATATAATTTTTTTTTTTGGGGGGGGGAGATTTTTGCTATAGGGCATGTGCGCTCGCCAGAGATACAGAGAGACAGAAAGTGAGAAATCACCCTCCATCCAGAGGGGTGGCCACTCTGCAATCCCTTCTTCTCCATTCTCCTTTCAGGATTTTGGGCACATGTGTACATGTGCCTGGCGTGAGTTTAAGCCATTGAGTATGGGACTCAAACTGCAGTTGACTACATGGGAGTCCAGCGACATAGCCATTAGGCCATCTGCCGGTCCCCGGGATATGCATTTTGTGAGATGTTAACAGAGTGGTTCATGGGTTATGGTGGAGCAAGGAGGATTACGTGATCAAATAAAATTTCAGGCACTAGACGTACAATGGGATTCGAACCTTTAAACCACCATCCTACACTACAGGCAAGGAGAGAGGTGGGGAGCAGCCAGCTCTTCCATGTTGGAGAGCCAGGTTCTGGTGACAGGCAGTTTGGGTTTTAGTCCTGCTTTTGTCTTTTCTTGCTACTGCACGTGGGCAGGTGATTGAACTAGTTTGGGCTCAGTTTCCTCACCTGCCTCACCTGAGGGTTATCTGGGATGCTGCAGCAAAGAGCTAAGCATATGCTCATTATGCACCGAGTGTTTGCTGTTCTCGTCATTACATCTCGAGAGAAACAGTTTGAGAGACCCCGAGTTAGATATTTTCAAACACATTTTTTTTTCCAACTTCAGAATTCTAGGGGGGTTTCAGAGGAACTATTTTTCCAGCTGCATACTCCATATACTTGCTCATTCTCTAGTTTGCTTCATGTATATATTGGGTTGTCGGAAAAGTCATGACATATTTTCACATAGAAAAATTTCGCCGTAACGTTTCCAACAATCCAATAAGTATTGCCACTGACTACATTCTTTTAAAAAAATGAAAAAAAAAAAAAAAAAGCCTATATGGGGCTGGCAGATGGCGTGGGGGTTAAAGCACTAGACTCTGACATGGCTGACCGTGATTCGAGTCCCAGACCTGACAACTTACTTTCTCACTGCCTTCCTCCCCTTTGGTCAAATTGAAAAAAAAAAAATTGTAATAATAAGTAAGATAAAATAAATCTTAAAAAACTAATGTGTTCCATATTTAATGACGAACGCATTAACCAAACCCATTCCTAGTTCTTTGTCTTTAAAGGACCCCTTGAAGGAAACTGATATTAAAAATCATAAGCACAAGAAAGCCTCACGTCTCAGGCAAGTGACAATGTAGGAGGTCAAGCCTGGACATCTGTCTCATCGTAGGTGCATGAAGCAGGATTGGTCCTGGCCTCCATGCTGCTAGTGGGATGGTTCCCATGGTGACAGAAGTCCATGGGAGAGAAAAACGAATGGCCTTGTGAGAAAGAATCAGATTTGGGCCATCAGGTCACACTTGCAGCCAGTATCCTGGCTGAATGTTGGACACAATAGTCTAACATGATAGTCATCGGTCCATTGCTGCCATTCCTCTGGGAGCCAGACAGACGCAGCTATATTCAACACAGGGAAAATGAGGATCCTGTTTACTGAAGAGGGGGGAAAATCAGCCAGAAACAGTGTTCCACACAAGACACGCTCCTGCGGATGCTGTCTCTGCTGAAAGATGGCTCAGTGTCTCACAGTAGCTGAGAACAGCAGAGCTTAGGAGCTATCACTTAACAAAGGTTTCTTGGAATGAAGCGTTGAAGCTGTCCTTTCTCCTGAGGCGTGGAAAAAAAAAGTCTTGACAATTTTCTTTGGCCCAGGTTAGTAGGATGTGGTTCATTTGATGTTGTCATGGAACTGAACCACATGTCAGGGACTCAGAAAAACAGATCAGACCAGGAAAGCCCCAGGGATGCAAGCAGCATTGGTCTAACCTTGGGAGTCCTCTCTCCTTTAAATTTGTACCTTTTGCTGAACTTCAGGGAATGTCTTAAAGGGAAATAAGACAACTAAGAACAATGTACGATTGGTTTAAAGAGGAACTTTTTTTTTTTTTTTTAAGAGAAAGAATTTTGCTATAAGGTGTGTGCGCTTGCAGAAGAGACAGAAACAGAAAGTGAGAAATCACCTCCTGGGGGGATGGCCACACCA